TCAGTGAGCGACCCTGTCTGAAAAACAAACTAGTTGCAAAGTCATAGAGCAACACTTGTTGCTCCTGTCAGACAGACAGACGTGTGTGCGCTACACACACACACACACACACACACACACACACACACACACAGAGCTTAAATTAACCTTCATTTGCTGTCAAAGCTGACTCACGGAAACTGTCAGCATTTGCCTAGGCTCCCTGGACCTGAGTGGGCACATGGAAAAGGTTCTGCAAGTGTAGTTGGGTAAATGTTGGTTCTAGGGCTACCTTTTCTGTCCTCTTTAACTACTTTTGTTTCTTTGTTTTCTCTGGTTTTTTTGTTGTTGTTGTTTTGTTGTGAGTTTTTTGGTAATTTTTTTTCTAGCATTTGAAATATATGTTTATATAGAAATAAATTTAAAATTCACTCTTGTGGCTTATCTAGATTTATTTCGTAAGAAATCTTTCATGCTCATACAAACAACCTCAGTTAAACTCAGTGAGACATGCACACAAATCCATCGGAGTTGGAAAGGAGGTTCAAGAGGGATAGGAGGGGATAAGAGCATAGTGAGTGGGTTGTGTGTATCAAAATTCCTTCAAGAAAGATGCAGTTATGAAAGGTCTCTTAGATCATGCAGGTTTAGGGAACATGGCCTCTCTGCTTTTGTTAGTCTTTACTATCTGAATAAATCTTTGTAGGCAAGTGTGGCCATTTCTCTTTGGAAAGTGCTGTTTTCTTGCTATTCCTCACTTGTCTTTCTGTGTGTCAGACTTGAAAAGCCGAGCCAAATGTGGTCACTCATATCATTCTTGAGAGGACAGTAGGGGAAGTGTGGGACACATCCCTAAGTAATCAAGTTCTCTGAGACAATCCACCCTCCCCCCCCCTTTTGAATGATGTACTGTACCCATCAAAGGGCTTTCTTCTGTTAGTCTTGCTATGGCTCACATGTTAGCTAAGAAGTCATACTGTTCAACTGTTAAAGGGGCAACAGATAAGATTTCACTAACCCCAACTTAAACACACTGTAGGAAAATAAAAAGAATTAGGAGTTTGTAATTGCAGATGACATAACGAGTCTTTAACAGAAAGGAATAATGCTTCATAGCAAGTTCCTGTCTGGAAAGCAGAAGTTTAGGAAACAGGGCGAAGGGGCTAGGAGGTTATAGGCACTACAGTCCACTTAGGACATTGATGGTAGGCACTGCAATGCATGCTCCTGCTGCCCTACCTACATCCTGGTTGCTGCCTATGAATTCTTGGTTTTCCAGTGAGATCTTTGAAGAATCTACTGTTCTCTTGTACCTTGCTGCCCACTCTGCAGGATTGAGTGTCTAACAACAAGGGAAAGAAATACCTGCCTCTGATCTCCTCAGTGTTTGCTAACTAGTTGGCATAAGGATGGCAAAATTTCCTTATGAAATTTTTATACTTAATCCTCTTTTCAGAAATTTGTAACTGTGTTTACATATAAAAAGCTGTGGTTTTTGTTTGTTTGGACTTTGTAGCTTCCAAAGCTTTGGACAGTTAATTTCTTTTGTTTATAAATCTAGTTGATCATGGTGTGCATACTTGGTATTTATGTGTGTTGACTTTCTTTTCAACTTATTTTTCTTTTAGATTGCTTTTGCCCTTAATGAATTCTGTGAGGAAACTGCTTGTGTAGATGCAGTTTTGTAATGCCTTTCCTTTCTAGGCTGTCAGATTCAGATAAGCATTGACTCCAGAAATTGATGGGTTATAGTTTGCTCAGAATTACTGATTGTTAACTCTGCTTTATTATTGTATATAATTACAAAATATATTTTCTATTGATAGCTGTAAATAATCAGTTAAGTTAACAAGTAGAAAAGATTTAACTTCTGAGGAATTGTTAATATATCTCCTACTTCTGACTAGGCGTTTTTCTCTTGGACAGAGAATAGAGAAGTGAAAGGTTTAGGACTCCCTGCCTTTTTCCTGTTTCCAGTGTTATACACCAGTCAAGCGTATGGAATTCTAGTTTCTTTTTGTTCTGTTGCCCCACTCCGACCTTTAGTAGATACTGTTTTTATGTTCCTTCTTATATACTTTGCTGCTGTCCTGAGTTCATCTATGAGCACTCCTGCCATTTTGATGACAATGTATGTATGATTTAAAACTAAGCTTTGTGAGCTCTCTGCAGCTAAGTTGTTTTTTTTTCCTTGAATAATTTGTTCATTGCAAAAGAGAATTCTAGAGAGTCCTACCAAGTCCCTAGCTTTGTTATTGTGATTGCTGTTGCAGTTTTGAGACAGTGTCTAACTCTAACCCCAAATGACTTCAGATTCAGTTCTATAGACCTGGCTGTGTTTTGTGTGTTGTCTTTACATGTACGTGGTAATAACATGCATGCACCATGGTACTTAGTAGGTTTGGTTTTCATTCTTTTTTTGAATCATCAAAGTACGACTTCATGTTTTTGTCTTTTAAAAAATAACATTTTCCTCTGTATTACAGTTATCCATGGACTTACAGTTAAATCCTCTCTGTAGTCCTTTAGATTGGGTTGTGGATTCCTAAGCTGTTGATGAGGTGAAACATTTGAACTGCTTTACAGATCAGTATCGTATCTCACCACACCAGTATTTCCTTCCTTGTCTGATGTAAACTCTAAAATTACATGAATACTTTCTCCCCATTTCCTGACATTTCCAGAGTTGTAGTTTCCTTTAAAAAATTATTTATAAAAGAGAACTAAGCAACCATTCCAAGATTTTTTTTTTAAGAAAAACCTTAGAAATTAAAAGGTCTAAAGTTCCTAATATTTTGCTGTATTTTTCTTGTAATTTTCCCACTTCGGGCCCCTGACTATGTTATAAATGTATCATGTCTTACTGCTTGATTTTTCTTTTCTTAATTGAAAATAGAATTTTTTCATGCAATATATTCTGATTATGGTTTCTCCTCTCTCAGTTCCTCCCAGTTCCCCCACCTCTCCTCCTATACAAATTCACACCCTTTCTGTCTCTCTGTTATTAGAAAACGGGTATCTAAAAACTAATAGAGTAAAATAAGATAAGATAAGATAAAAGCAAACAAACTGGAATAGGACAAAACAAACAAACAAAAATGAAAAGCACAAGATGCAGAGACACATATTGGACACATAGAAGTTTCATAGAAACACAACTGGAATCCATTCTATACTATATGTCCAAGAGATCTATGTTCTTGGTTTTAATTTACACAGACACAGACACACACAGACACACACAGACAGACAGACACACACACACACACACACACACACACACACACACACACACACACACACACCCTGTTCTGCAAATTTCACAGTGATTGATCACATTTGGTGCTCATCTGTTTTTCGAGCTCCTGGGTCTTCCTGTTCTTCCCGACTTGAACTGATTGCCTTCCTGTGTGTGCAGCCTGAGATACCCCTTTACTATGTATCCTTCTTGAGATTCTCATTTCTTTTACAAGTTGGGCTTCCTGGTTTCCAGAACCTATTATCACCTTTCAGAATTTTCTACTCTCAATATCTTTTACAACTGAGACAGTGTATGGAAAACAAATGACTTGTTGTATAACCAGTGCCTTTATTATATACTCACCCATGATTTATAGTCTGTCCTCTATAGCAGTCTAGGCTGCAAGTAATTTTTTTCTGAAAATCAAACTTGTATAATTGTTTTTGAGAAGCTAGTGTTGTTAATGGCAGTGTCTTTGTCTTTTTGTTTTTATGCCATCTACTTCTTTTCAAGCCGAAGTTAGGGTCTGACGATATCTTTGGCATTTAGAAATAACATAAAGATATATGCCTCCATTTGAGGCTCTCCTCCCACCCCCCGCCTTTTAAAAAAAGATTTATTTATTTTATATAGGTGAGTACAATGTCTTCAGATACACCAGAAGAGGGCATCAGACCCCATTACAATGATTGTGAGCCACCATGTGGTTTCTGGGAATTGAACTCAGGACCTCTGGAAGAGCAGTCAGTATTCTTAACCACTGAGCCATGTCTCCAGCCGCCCTACCGTCCTTTTAAAGTCAATTTTATTAGCTATTTCTCCCTTCATCTTGGAAACTCACGTTGGACCTGGAGATATAGTTAAAGTGGTAGAATGTTTTCCTGAGGCTCTAGGTTTAATTGTCAGCACTGCATAAACCCAGTGTGGTGACACAGACCTGCGTGATCCCAGCACTCTAGGGATGGAAGGAAGAGGGTCAGGAAGGAGTTCAGGCTTATCTACCACCACAGAGTGAATTCAGGACCAGCCTGGGCTACATGAAACTATCTTTTCTCCTTTTGTCTCATAATTAATTCTTCACCATTATACCTTACTGAGTCTTCTGTTACAGGCCTGAAGATTAAACAAATTTACATTCATAAATTACTTAAAATAATAGCTGGCTTGTAATAAGTGCTTTGGTACCTGTAATTACTGTTTGGTTTCACAGCTGACTGGAAGGAGTGGTCCTTCGTTTGACTCATTCCTTTACTAGCTTTACACCTTGGGCAAGCGTCATCATCTCTGAGATATACTTCCCTTCCCTGTAAAATGTAAATTCTATCTCTACAGTGTTGTCAGGGACAAGAGAAAGTATACATGTGAAAAATGTTTGATAAACTTTGTACAGGATTACATTACTATTGTATCTTTCAAATATCTTTTTTTTCTATAAAGAAGACTAAATTTTAAGCTTTTTTAAAAAAGAGCACATGATTGCTTATGATTTTCATGGAAGTCTGTGTGAGCTGGGTGCACTTGGGAGCTGTTAAGATTGCTTTGTCAAGACATGAGTAAATTATTGGATTGAAGACATAGATATGAAAATAGTTTCTGATAAAATCGGCTGTATAAATCTGTGTAATATAATAATTTTTAATGAATGAGGGGATATGTATTTGGGTTATTAATAGTATATGAGATTAGGCTAAATAAATCTGTTTTAGTCCTGTACAGTATTAATGTGATTTGAAATGCTAGTTCATTTTTGTTAATGGTGGTTTTTTTGTTTTGTTTTAAGGTTTTTGGATTCAAAGCATAAAAACCATTACAAGATATACAATCTGTAAGTATGCTTTTTAAAAATTTGTCTCTGTGTTAAAATAACAAAGTAAAAATTATTTCTTTGTTAGAGATAAAAATTTCTTTTAATAAAACTGGATTCCTCAAAACAGTTGAAGAAGTCTGATAGAGAGCATGTTGGATCTCGGTGTGGTGTGGTGACGAGGGGCAGCAGCCTTGGCACAGGCTCTTGTTACTTGATCTGCTTTAAAGGACTTGGCGCCTAGCCCATCCTTGAGCCCATAATCATGTGATAATTTGAGATGTAATCCACGGCGGAGCTGCTGTTAGTGTTAACGATGGCTTCTGTGGAGAGACTCCGGGGTGGATGGGTGTTTGTTCTTCTGTACTTGTTGATCCGTTTACTGAAACGGCTATTTGAATATTTTCTATGTATAACCTCAATGAGTTATGCAGCATTGTTTAGTTAGTTATCTAGTGTAGAACTTGAGGGATTGCCCATTAGAACTTATTGGCTTATTTTTTTTTTTTTTAATTTTTATTTATTTATTATATGTAAGTACACTGTAGCTGTCTTCAGACACCCCACAAGAGGGTATCAGATATCATTACAGATGGTTGTGAGCCACCATGTGGTTGCTGGGATTTGAACTCATGACCTCTGGAAGAGCAGTCAGTGCTCTTAACCACTGAGCCATCTCACCAGCCCCCGGCTTATTTTTAAAACTTTGTTTTCTTTTGACTTTTGGAGTAGTGATGTGAAAATAAGAGAGGAAAGCAAATCATTAAACACCTTTTGTCTTTGAAACCCATTTTTATTTTCCGGAAATACTGAGCATTTTTAAAAATTTTAAAAGATATAAATGACCATTTTTCTATTATGTCCTTTTATTTTCTATGTCTATGATTTATATAACAAGATTTATATAACATGTTTTATTTCTTTTAATTTTAGGATTATTTCTTTGCAAACATAAATGTAAAGATCTTGAAATATTTACATGGCTTTTCTACTACTCAAAGTCAGTAGGAGTATTTATTAGACCTGGGAGGATGGGCCATGGCAAGTCAGGAGATGGATAGCATGATGGTATTTGTAATATGGCAGATAAGTCACTTGGGCAGGTGGTGGTGCATGCTGCCTTTGGTGGGGTTGTAATAATAAAAGGTGGATAGGAGAACTACAAAACTGTTTCCAACAGCTGCATTCAGAAGGTGACTGAAAAAGGACAAGAACTGTTGAAGGCTGGAATTCAATTAATGAATCATTTTGGACTCACACTGTCAGGATTGGGGATTTAGAGAGGTCCCAATAGAGAAGTAGAAAGACATTAGAAGACACATTCTGCCTAAGTTGAAATTTTATGCCTGTTAAACATATCCAAAGCACAGGGAGGAAATTCTTTTCATTCCTGTGTATAGTGGCTTCCTGCTCCTAGAATTTAGTAGGCTTATGCTATCTTCTTTGCTGTATTTTAGTATAGTTAGAGGTGGCATTGGATGAGCCTAGGAACTTGACTTGTTTCTAAGCATTTGATTCCCAGTTTAATGAACTATCTATTAGTTGAGAACAACCTTTAGTGCATATGAACTTATTCCCATGTCATCTGGAACAGAGGCTTTCAGAATGACAAGGGACCTTTTATTTGTTTGCTTGTTAGTTCTTCATTTTATTTCCTTTAAAAGTTTAAACATGGGGTCTAGAGAGCTGGCTCAGCAGTAAGAGCACTGACTACTTTTCCTGAGTTCAGTCCCCAGCAACCACATGGTGGCTCACAACAATCTGTAATGGGATCTGATGCCCCCTCTTCTGAAGGCAGCTACAGTGTACTCCTATACATAAAACAAAATAAATAATTGTTTTTTAAAAAAGAGTTTAAACACCTACAAAATGGAATGTTTTAGTTTGAGTACTCCCTCTCCCCTGCCTACTATGTATCTTAGGCAAGTGAGACTAGCAACAGCAGATGTTTCTTTTCTTTTTTATTTCTTTTTGTCTTAGGATAGGAATTACACATCGTATATATTTTTTTTTCTTGGAAAATGTAGACATTTGGAGATCCTAAAGTATTTTTCACTGGACATCTGTATAATTAGTAGTCTGTGAAGCCTTTTATGGCAGCAATATTGTACATGAATGAAGAGCTATCAATGTAAGCTCTCTGATATCACTAGCTTACCTGTTTATAGCAAAATAATCACTCAATTATTTTAGAAAGGGCAACATTAGTTAATTAATCAGTTTTGTATGAGTGTTTTTTCATTTTTTGTAGTTTCGTGTTCAGAGAATACAAGATTTTAAGTTTATTTTAGTGAATATTTGATATATTAGGCAAACATTTAAATGAGTCCATTTTATGTTAAGATTTCCTTTGTAAAACACTGTAGAGTGAAGGAGAGCGCTTCCTACTGTGTAGTTCTGCAGGCCCAGTAGTCTGAGAGCCTGTCTTCTGGTTTACCCTCCCTTCCTTCTCTTGCCACCTTGCAGAACCTCTTCTTTCCTTGTTCTTTTCATATAAGCCAATTTAAGATAAGGAAAGCATGTTTTTTTAATTATAAAGAAAAATTTAAGTCCAAATTGTTATTTGTTATGTTCCATTTTTGTATGTGGAGTGACTTACTGCTAATATGCCATAAGAAATTTAAAAGAAACTCCCATGTGAATTTTGGATATATACCAGAGATTTTAACTAAGGTGGAAGTTTTCTTCTTTACCCTATGACTCTCTCTCTTGAGCACTGTTACACGGGGAGCCCCAGCATGTTCCCCCCTGAAGCCCCTATGCTAGACTGTAAAGAGCTGCATGCTTTTCTTCTTTTTTTTCAAAGCCAATTGTTAGATCTGTCTTCAGTGACAATACTGCTCCTGTTTGTGCTGTAAAATTTGTCACTGCTTTTTCATTTAAATGTGAGTGTTTTTGTTATGTTGAATGAAACAGTAATAGAAGTTGTTGGATTTTGTTGACCAAGGAGACTAAGCTTGAGTTCCTGTCTCACAGTCATTACATGTTGTGATTAGGGAAGCTTTTAAGGGCCTTTCCAAATCTTAGCTTTTTGATAGATCCATATTCCTCATATATATACATTCCTCATATATACAGCGGGTGTATAAACTGTCACATGATTGTGAGGGTGAAAACATGGAAGTCAGTTATAAGGTATGCATAACCTGTAGACTTCAGTTGTCACTGTTCCTTTCTGAAATATCACTACCTTAACTGATACATGACAGCCAGTTTGTAATGGTCACCATAAGCAGTGCTCATTAAACCAAACTTTGGAGAGTGTTTTTAGAGTCTTTCTCTGGGGTGGGACCCTCCCCTCCCCTCCCCTCC